TGCTAGTTAAAAGAATATTATGATGCAATTACCTGCAAGAAATATACCCAATCTGGTTCAAATTCCCTGAATCCAGTATTCCTGTTGTTAAAGCACTGCTTTTCTTGCTAAAACACTGCTATTGCTTTGGTTTAGAAGGCCTGAAGATATGTGTGTGTGTGTGTGTGTGTGTGTGTGTGTGTGTGTGAGAGAGAGAGAGAGAGAGAGAGAGAGAGAGAGAGAGAGAGAGAGAGAATAGTCAAATATTAGGAACGTTCAGTGGTTTTGTGTGTGGGCAAAATAAGAAGGCAAAGGGTGTTTCTTTCCTCCCTTAGTTGAAGCATGATTTTAGTAAACAAGGTTTCAGACCCTTTCACCAAACAGCTAAGGCTAGGACAGGTAACAAGGGAAGCCACAGACAGACTGATTGCAGTAATCTAGGCATGGAACTGTAAGAACTGTACTCCAGTTTCTAGGAATTTTCTGGGGACACTCTGTTTGTGCAAAGGGATCCCTTTGTGTTTCCCATTACAAAATTCCCACCTGGTCAGCTCTAAGTGTATGTGAAATAAATACAGGAAGCTGAAGCCCACATGCTATAGCCTATCTATAGTACATCACACACTCTGTGGTCAGTGTAGTTATTGACAGGATTTTTTCCCCATTTCTATGTCCCATTGAAATCAATGGGTGGGAATTTCTTTACACCTTCTCCCCAGCTGGTGTAAAGTTTGACCATTGACAAGGGCACCTTATGGATACCAGGGGTGGAGTGGGGGGCTAGGATGCGGTGTATGTTTGGCGCTTTCCACCCCTGTCCACCCTTGACTCAGGAACATTTTACCATTCTGTCAGCGTGCCTGAGGTGTTCTGCTGTCATGGCAGCAGCAGGCTGTCAGCACAACAGGGCATCTACCAAATTCTGGAGCCCTCATCTGCTGAGACTTGAGGATAGGATTTCACCCTAAGGTATTTAACTTTGGCTGGGTTGCACCCACACTGATTTTAGACCATTGAAATCAAAGGGGGGGGGAAAAACAATTATGTTCCCTAGGAAGCCTTGGGTAAGTGGTTGAGGCTGATTTAGTAGAAGACATTAATAAACACACCTAAATCCCACGTTTTGCAAGAAGTTTGTATTTCTACCGCCTTTATTGTTTACATTTATAGCAGCAGGGAAGTCCCAATGGAAGACTATATTTTGAACAAGTTCACTAAACTGATGGTTAAATGCAAAAATCCATTGCTGTGTTATAGCAGGAATATGAAACACCCTCCAGCAGTTTGAAAGTAATAGAAGCATGTTATGGTACATTTCAGAAAAATGGTCTGTCTTCCAAATAGCTCATCTTTTTTCTTTACATATTTATCACCAAAGTTGGTAGCAGCGTTATGACACATACCAGCAATTCTAGGGTTATTGTGTTTTTGGGGTCTATTGAATACAGCCCATTAAAGTTTTAGGAGCAATAGCACTTCTCACTCTATAAGAATCAAAGGAATGAACAACGTCTGAGAAGCAAAAACAAAAAATAACTCCTAAAGTTATATAAAAAGGAATGCTTACTTTAGTGTTAGAATGGGCTGCTCTCATACATAACTCACAGGCTAGTGTCTCTAAGGGCCGGGTGGGGGGGAGCTTTTAGCAACATTTGGATGTTAAAGATCAAACAGGCCACTTTTAGGCGATTAGTCAGGTAGGGTTATGTATTTACTCCCAGGAATTGGTGAGTGTGCTTGTTCAGTGAACTATCTCAGACTGGTCTCGTGTCTAGATATAAAACAACTCAACATTGAAGTGGGGGTTTATTCAAAACTGTTTCAGGGAGAAGACATTAAGAGTGGCAATTGCAAGACATAAAGGCTCAATAGCAGAGCATGTGCTATACCAGCAGAAGGCCTCAGGTGAAATTCTTGGTACAGTTGTACCTTGGTTTTCAAACAGCCTAGTTCTCAAACGTTTTGGCTCCTGAACGATCAAAACCCGTGACTGTGCTGGTTTTTGAACCTTCTTTTGGAAGCTGAACATCCGACGGGGCTTCTGCAGCTTCTGATTGACGGTAGGAGCTTCCTACAGCCAATCAGAAGCCACAATTGGGAAGTCGAACAGATTCCATTTGACTTCCAAGGTATGACTGTATCTTTCAGTAAGGCAAGGGAAGACTTCTGTCTTGAAGCCCTGGAGAGTGACTTCCAGTGACTGTAGACCAGCAGCAGAGAACCTTTGATCTGTGCAGTTTCTCAGGCCCACCACACTTCTGAATGCAGCCCATGAACCCATTTTGGACAGTATAGGGAACTCCTGATTTGTGTGGGGGTTGTGTTCACATAGAACACATGGGAATCTGCACACTGTGGTGAGAAATGAAGCCCTCTTGGTGTGTAGTTAGCTTGGTCTTGCTGTCTGTTTTTAGAGGTGCTGTCTGTTTTTAGAGTTATTGCCTGTTGCATCTCCTATTTTTGACCAAAGAGCAGAACAAACATTACAGGAAGTCCCAATGCAACTACACCCCCGTACTTAACGCATTCTTGACAGGCTGAATGACTAAAGTATTCCTTGACGGCTTAGATAACAGGTCACCATGGCTTGAAAGCTATGACTGTTGGAAGATGTACATCAGTAGACCACAGAAGTGCTCTTTTGAGAGTCTACAGGGAGAGCTACTTGGAATACTGACAATACCATAGGTCATCTCAGATCATGAAGTCAAGGAGGCCGGTAAAGAACAGTATTTCTGTAAGCGTAACAAGTCTTACCACTGCTTTGTGCTTTTGTTGAAGACAAGTTGTTGGACTGAAAAACCCTCTAAAGAAGAGAAAGTGCTGCTGTGGTAACATAGATGGAAATGGCAATGATTAAATTATGCTCTGTTGTTTATGACTTTGAATTTTCATTTTGTCTCTGTGTTTTAAGGTTATGTCATCATCATATAAGATTTGCATTTCTTCTTAAATCAAAATAAACTGCTCTTCACGCCAGCTGGTTAGCAATGAATCAAATATATGTAGTTATGCCAACCATGAGCTTTAAGCCACAGAACTGGTATCAGTGGCCAATATTGCATTTTGGCCCCCTTCAGACAACTTATTTTCACAGTGACCCCACTTCATGGTGATTTGATTTTAAACATTTTATACCATGTCTTTTCAATTGGCTTACATTTCAATGTGTGTGGGGGGGAGACCCCAGTATTAGAACCATTCAGTATACCAAACAATATTAAAACAAAACAGTATAACACCACAGAACAGTTTGAAATAATGCAATGAGTTTTATAATGCAAGAGTTGTTCATGCATCCTAGCTTTGGTTCTGAAAGCTTATCTGATTTTGTAATTTTTTAGCGATTAATGGGATGGTTGAGTTTTTAAGTAGCTTTTCAAGACTGGGAACTATTCTATTAACTTTTTTTCCCTTTAAAGTATATAGCATACACCCAGATGATTCCAGCTGCCCTTTACAAGTTTACCAGACTCCCTTTAATATATAATACTAATTTATGATCACTTTACTACCCAGATTCCATCTGTTTGTAATTCAGTTGTACAAATTAAGCGTAAAAAAGTTAATTGGGCACAGTTGGCAAAGTAATTCTTGATTACTTTATTGTAAAAGCAGATATTGGCAGGATTGAGGAATTACTTTTATGCATCTTAGCTCCCTTTTTAAGGAAAAGGAAAGGGAATATATTGTTTTTGGAAAAATGTTGTACTTAAAAAAAATCAAGTTGGTAAGAAATGTTAAGCAATATTCCAGTAATATTAGTAACAGGGGCGATAAGAACTGAGTTAAATCAGAACTATGATATAAATCCTCATGACAGGGAGACCACACTGTGTGTAATAAAGATGGCTTTTAATTCTGTCTCTAAGCAGATGTTTGTTTCCAACTATCATTAAAAGTAATAAAACTAAGTTTAATGGAAAATAATTAAATTCAATGAGATTTAGGTCCTAGGAATTCTCATCTGCGTCAGTATTAGGAGTTCCAGTTTGAAGAAGAAAGTGCCATGATATAAATAAGATGGAGATATTTCGTTCCTTATGCTGAGAAAGCCATTAAACCTGGATTGTTTTGTGCTGGGAACTTTATGCAGCTTAGGAAATGGGCCACATGGAGCTGCAGTAGCTCTCTCATAAGCCCCAAATGAACAAGGCAATATACATATATATCTCAAGCGTATGCAGAAAAACCACCAATAACCATAGGTAAGGTGGCCTAAGCCAAAATTTCAGAATGATCGATGAAACCCTTCATTGAATACAAACATTTTACTTTGTTGTGGATCCCATTTATAGAGTAATAAAATCTATAATACAGGGGTGGGAAATCTTTGAGGACACAAGGTTTGACAAAGAGTTGCCTGTTCTGGTCAACCATTTAGGGGTCATGTGCAAGTGGCTGACAAAGCCTGAGGTAAAAGTGGATAGACAAACAAATGTGAATTTTACCTTCATACATTAAGCTATTTTCTATACACACTGACACAACCTTCGCTATTCTCCACCTGGGCAAGCAGGTAGCATTATCAGAGTTCAATGACATATTCAAGCCGCAGAAGAAGAAGAAAAAGATGACGACACCCTTCTGACTGGGTTGTTCCAACCACTCTGGACAGCTCCCAACAGAATATTAAAAATGCAATAATACATCAAACATTAAAAACTTCCCTATGCAGGGCTGTCTTTAGATGTGTTCTAAAAGCCAAATATTTCACCGCCTTCACTGGTTCCGATTCAAACGAGAGGTAGAGCTGGGTATCATCCGCATGCTGGTGAACACCCAGCCCAAACCCCCTGGTGATCTCTCCCAGTGGCTTCATATAGATCAGAGGTCGGCAAACTAAGGCCCGGGGGCTGGATGCAGCCCCCAGGCTCGTAAATCCGGCCCGCAGACCCTGCCACCCACTCGGTCAGTCCCTGCACGCTGCGGACGCCTCACCACACGGAAACTGACTTCCGTGGTGCTGGCATGGCTTCTGGGTGGGCCACGACGCTGGCGTGGCTTCGGATTGGCTACAGGAAGCTCCTGCAGCCAATCCGTAGCCTCACCTCCCACGTGCTGAGGTAAACCCAGCACAGCCATGGATGGAGAGGCCAGTGGGTGGGCGGTGGATCTGGGCCGCGCCATGGGCATCATGATGGGCATGTCGCGGGGCTTCAACTTGGCACGCCTGCTGACTCCATGCCTGTTGCCTGGCTCAGCGCTGCTGCTGGTGGCACGCTTGGCACCTGCGCTGGAGCAGCTGGAGAGTGAGCTGTGTGCGCCTGCCCAGCACTCTGTATGCACCGCCTGCCCGCTGACCTAGCCTTGGACGATTCCCACAGCACATGGTGGGAGCTCCACGGAGACGGGCTGATGGTGCAGCTGCTGCTTGTCAACAATGCTGGTGAGCGGGTGGCGCTGAGACACACTCCTGAGCGCGTGCAGAGTGCGTTCCTCCTCCAGGTCCAGAGGCAGCTGGGGGATTGGCTTGCTGGGTATTTATATTTTTCAAAATATAGTCCAGCCACCCACAAGTTCTGAGGGACACTGGACCGGCCCCCTGATGAAAAGGTTTGCTGACCCCTGATATAGATGTTGTGCCTCAATGAGGGTGCAATGCTGGACCAGCAAGAGGTGTGGCCTGGGAGAAGGGGTGTGGCTGCAGACATTCCCAGGGGGCGGACAAAGAGGCATGGAGAGGCACATTTCACTCCTGGGCTGAGGTTTGCCATCTGTACTATAACACCTTATAAAATCTAAAATGTTATCAGGAAGATGTTTGCTGCTGACTGTGTTCTGAAACATCAACAAGCCAGGCCAAGTGGATCCAATGTGGGGAATCATGGTGAAGTGTGTCAATATGTGTCTTAAAAACCCTGCGCTGAGTTCATCCAGTAGTCAATAGTTGGACAGAATACTTTACAGAGAGTTCTCCTCTATTTGAAAGGCTATCACCATAGAGCAGCCTTGTCTTCTTGGCCTGGGAATTAAGCACAGTGTTTTTCCAGGGAGACTTTGCTCTCCTAGATACTAGAATTTGCACAGACTGATCTATATAAGAACAATAAATCGAAGAACTGGTGTCTGAGATTGCATTTCCCCTCTTCCCTCCCATCCATTTTTCTTTTTGTGTCCTGTCTTTGTTGACTGCAAGCCAGAGGGCAGGGGCTGTCTTACTACTGATTTTCGTAAGGCATTCTGGGGGTCTTTTGGGCAGGGTATAAATGCTTTCAGTAAATATTTCAGTTCAGTTCAGACAAATTTGCATTTGTGAATTGAATATTATATTCCCCAGTTCCATAATAGATAGACTATTCACTCTGCTAGTCTTCTCCAAAGAATCCATTGTCCTTCAAGGAAATTTGACATAAAGTGGAACTGATAAGAATTTTAAATTAACTGCATCAACTCTTTCACAGTTGCGATGCATTTACAAATAGTAGCCACTAGGTGGCAGAAACAAACAAATTTCAAGTACATCCAGCTTATCTTGAGAAAGGTAGGAAGGAAAGTGTCAGGTCTAAGATATACTGAATGAATCAAACGTCCCTGTAGCAGTTAACTTTATGCATCAATGAAAAGTCCAGCAGCTGAATCAATGGCATAGTGAAATCATGATAGTAGACTTGATCCCATTGAAGTCAATAAGACTGGAACATATTAAATGAAACAGCTATGTTTCACCTGAAGTAGCACTTTGGCTGACTGGACAAGTACTGAACGGAGTTCATTTCTATACTAGGCACATCTATTCTGTGTTTGTCTACAATGGCAACAAACATAATCTTTCAACGGCCATTGGAGAATGGATGGCAACTAGCAGATTGAGGTTGAATCCTGACAAGACAGAAGTATTGTTTCTGGAGGACAAGGGGGCGGGCAGGTGTTGGGAACTCCCTGGTCCTGAATGGGGTAACTGTGGCCCTGAAGGACCAGGTGTGCACCCTGGGAGTCATTTTGGACTCACAACTGTCCATGGAGGTGCAGGTCAATTCTGTGTCCAGGGCAGCAGCCTACCAGCTCCATCTGGGACAACAGCTGAAGATCCTACCTGCCCGCAGACTGTCTCACCAGAGTGGTACATGCTCTGGTTATCTCCCACTTGGACTACTGCAACACGCTCTATGTGGGGCTACCTTTGAAGGTGACTCAGAAACTACAACTAATCCAGAATGCGGCAGCTAGACTGGTGACTGGGAGAGGCTGACTGGACCATATTACACCAGTTCTCAAAGATCTACACTGGCCCTAAAAGATTGTAAAAAGCAACTACAACTTAATTTCCATTGATATCACGATGGAAACAAAGGAAAGAGCTGTGCACATCTTTTAACCAAGCAATCAGCAAAAGCAAAAAGTGGTCTGAAAGGTACAAAACTATTGCATTAAAGCATTTAAACCAACATCTTTTCTTAAAACAACAACAACAACAACAACAACAACAAATATGGAGCTGATAAGAATGAAAGTGATTTCTGGGCTTTGAATGGATCACAGATACTACATTAATCAGTGCAGTGTACTGTACCTGATAGAAGCACTGTATGGTTCATAAATACAAACTTTCAGGATCTGGAATTTCGCATTTTGAGATTTGCCCATTAGTAATTGCCTGGTACAGATTATTCTGACTCACTCCATCTGGCAGATGAAAAGCCAACAGTTAAGAGTCTTCATTTGCCGGAGACCAGTAGAGTACTGTAATTAGCTTCATTTGGCATTCAAAACAGTTGCATGCAGTTGGCCATTTACGGCTTCCTGAACTGAATTTCCTTGGCAATTTGGACCTCTGCAACTTCTATAATTACTGTATGTTTGAAATATTGTCAGATCCTTAGCTGGAGAATTAAAAGGCCTGAATCAGCTGACTTATTTTGAGCAATGACTCATGAAGGCTTACACTGAAATATGCAAGATACATCTGCAAGTCGGGATGCCGATACTTGAGGGAAGAGGAAGAAGAAGAAGAAGAAGAAGAAGAAGAAGAAGAAGAAGAATTTATTATTTATATCCCACCCATCTGGCTTGGTTTTCCCAGCCACTTTGGGTGGCTCCCAACAAAATATTAAAAACAGAATAAAACATCAAACATTAAAAACTTCCCTAAACAGTGCTGCCTTCAGATGTCTTCTAAAAGTCAAGTAGTTATTTCCTTGCCACTACTGAGAAGGCCCTCTGCCTGGCTCTCTGTAACTTCGCTTCTCGCAATGAGGGAACCGCCAGAAGGCCCTCGGTGCTGGACCTCAGCGTCCGGCCTGAATGATGGGGGTGGAGACGCTCCTTCAGGTATACTGGGCCGAGGCCATTTAGGGCTTTAAAGGTCAGCACAAACACTTTGAATTGTGCTCGGAAATGTACTGGGAGTCAATGTAGGTCTTTTAGTACCAGTGTTATGTGGTCTCAGCGGCCGCTCCCAGTCTGGCTGATACATTCTGGATTAGTTGTAGTTTCCGGGTCACCTTCAAAGGTAGCCCCACATAGAGCGCATTGCAATAGTCCAAGTGGGAGATAACTAGAGCATGCACCACTCTGGCATTCATTTTGTGTTCATTTTGTCTTTCTGCAATGTTGAGCAGATCTCTACTGCTTCGTACACTACCTGCTCTGGGGAATCACTTAGCCTAAGTCATACCACACTTATATATCCAGCCCAGGCACCAGCATGCTTGCACATTGGCTTGTCTAAAGACCTCTGTTGCCCTTCTGTGTTCCTGGTGGATCAGCTGATCAGGTTTGTCAATCTTTTTATCCCTTGACATTGGCTGTCATGTCAAGCATGTTCAGCATGTTGGGTAGAGCCTACTTCTGATTTTCATTCCCACCGCTTCTGATCTACTTACCCTAGTTTGCTTTCACCACCAACACCTAAGTTGGAAGGAATTGGTGGGCCAGAAAATCATAACACTCACTGCTTGGAAGCTAAAATAACCAGGATGATGAAGTTTGACACCCATTGAGGCATTTAATCATCATTCACTATTATTCCAGTTTGTAACTCAAACTTTTGCATTGGCACTAGAAATGTAGGTTTGGCATGTTTCTTTCTGCTAAGCGCTGATGGGCTATTGCAAGCATATTTCAAAACGGAATTTCTAGATACCCATTTAAAGGCAAACCTACCTCAACTTTCTCATTTAAAGGCAAATTTACCCCAGTTCACATTTTCCAAAACAACATGAGAACTAAAAAAACAGTCAGCCCTCAAAATTTGCACTTTCTGAATTTTGCAATGCGGTTCTCCAGCCAAGTAATGTGTAGAAAAATACATGCACTGAGATGCAAGTGTCCATGAAAATATTAGTGAAAATAACAGAAAAATGCAGTATTTTAGTGGAAATTTCTTTGCAGAAATGTTTGTACAGTGGAACCTCGGTTGTGAAACATAATCTGTTCCAGAAGACCGTTTGACTTCCAAAGCGTTTGACAACCGAGGTTCCACTGTATTAGGCAAAATTGTATACAAAACATAGACATACAGAGAGATTTACAATAAACTGTTGATGAAGTTTCATGGGGACACGCACACCACCAAATTGATGTGCAAATGTGGAGAACTGAATTTAAGATTGGAAAAACAAAAAGCCCAACCTCATACTTTGTCCCTCCCTGAAGGTTTCTTCCTGTTTGGTCCATTCCTTTGCTTCAGCTCCCCAACAAACACAAAGGTTCTCACATCATGTGGGTGGAAGTTTGATTCTACCGCCACTTCCTGTCATTCCTTTGAAGGAACAGCACAACTGTGATACTCCAAAGCAATTACCCATGAAGTACTGGTATATTTGTCAGAGATTGGAGATACTCCTGAACATTGAAAAATTCAAATAACATGAGATGAAGAGGATCCTTGCTCTGGCTATTTGAGGCTTTGCGACCACAGATATCATGAGACTCTAAAAATATTCCTGGCTATATACTTTACTTCCTCTCCTCCTCTGGAATATTTCCCTAGCTAATATAATTTAAATTGCCCAGACATCACTTGTGGATGATGCCTCTTTGCCTGTCTGGCTGATAGATACTGTGGCAGCTGCAGATTACAACACATTAATGACAGAGCAAAGTAATTTGCATCATCAAGACTCGAAGTATCTGCATTCCAGCCTCTTGTAAATAGCACTAATCTACTTTCCAAGAAAAGACTGCAGGCTAACTAACTTGGGTTTGTGGGATGCATTTCTTAAAAGCACTGTAAGATTTGCATTAATATTGAATGTTGGAGAGATTTATAGCCACACAGGATTGCGTCTGATTGAAGAAATATAAAGTGTTGTGAGCACTCCATGCATATCACCAGAGTATTAACAACATAAAGTATCCCCATAGCTTTTAACATAAAAAAATATTTTAGCTTAAAAAATGTCATTCTGATCAGCAAGCAGTCTAAAGTACAGCTCATAAACCATCCTGAGGAATAAGCTTCACTGAAATATTTCCAAAGCTGTATTGAATAAGACCTTGGTGAGGAGTCCTCAAAACATCATTCGTAATTATACTTTTCATCCTTCATATGAGAAGTTGAAAGTTCCCTCTTGTTTTTCACTGAGTATCTGGTCAAGCAGAAGACTAGTTCCCCAGATCATTTTCCCTCAAACTTTTAACCAGGTAACATGTGATTCAAGAATGAGCAATATGAGGGATGAGTCAAAGTGTGTGGCATGAAGTTGCATCCAAGAGGGGAAAGGCAAGACTTAGAGAACACAGAAAGCTATTTTGATCAGTGGGTTTCTGTACACTAGATCGCAGAACAGTCATTCAGATGCAAAATCATACAAGTTGGTGTTACAAAGAGGAATAAGAAGCTCACTTCACTCTCAGTTAATTAAAAACTATCTGATCATTGGGGATGTTCAAGGTTAAAATATTTTCCTAGAAGAGGTCTACAGTCTGAAGGTTAATGAAGATGTGCCACTGAACCAAACCAAATTAAGTGTCTTTTGTTCAAGGGGCTGGCTTGGTGTACTAGATAACTTCTGAGTTACTTGCCTTTATATGAACCTGATGAAATGTCCAAAGTGAATTTTGCAAAGGACAAGAACCATAGATAGATATAGCTATATTTACCAATGTGTGAGCAGGACTCTATAATTCTGATCTTGGTATCATTTCTGGACATGTGTTCTGTGCATTCTCCATCAGAGTTGTGGCACAGGTAGTGTGTGCAGGCAAAAAGGAGGAGAGGTGTAGCTTTTCTGAGAAGCTACGTCTGCTGAATTACCGTTATCTGCATAATTATGAAAGATGTAGGAGACCTGTCCTCTTTTGCATCTGAGTACCCAAGTGCGGGACGCGGGTGGGTAAAACCTCAGTGCCTAGGACTTGCTGATCGTAAGGTCGGCGGTTCGAATCCCCACGGCGGGGTGAGCTCCCGTCGTTCGGTCCCAGCTCCTGCCCACCTAGCAGTTCGAAAGCACCCCTAAGTGCAAGTAGATAAATAGGGACCGCTTTATAGCGGGAAGGTAAACGGCGTTTCTGTGTGCGGCGCTGGCGTTGGCTCGCCAGCTGCAGCTTTGTCACGCTGGCCACGTGACCCGGAAGAGTCTCTGCGGACGGTGCCGGCTCCTGGCCTCTTGAGCGAGATGAGCGCGCAACCCTACAGTCGGACACGACTGGCCCGGACGGGCAGGGGTACCTTTACAGTGGTGCCTCACAAGACGAAATTAGTCCGTTCCACGAGAGTCTTCGTCTAGCGGTTTTTTCGTCTTGCGAAGCAACCCTATTAGCGGCTTAACGGATTAGCGCTATTAGCGGTTTAGCGGCTATTAAAGGCTTATCGGCTTATCGGATTAGCTGCTAAAAGGCTATTAAAGGCTTAGCGGCTTAGATAAAGGGGGGCAAAGCGAAAAAAAAATCTCAAGACTCGCAAGACATTTTCGTCTTGCGAAGCAAGCCCATAGGGAAATTCGTCCTGCGAAGCAACTCAAAAACGGAAAACCCTTTCATCTAGCGGGTTTTCCGTCTTGCGAGGCATTCGTCTTGCGGGGCACCACTGTACTTACCCAAGTGCCATGCAGAGACCTAGCTCATGCTCCCCACCCACCTGAGAAAAGTATTTCATGACTTTTGGTTTTGCCACCATGGTGAACAGTGATTACCATGATAGCAGACCCCGGGCATGCAGCCAATTAAGGATAATTTGAGAGTAATTATCCCTGCAACCCCCCCCGGGTCGGGGGAGGGAGAGCTCTCATTTGCAGATTGTCCAGTACCTGCCTCCTGCTCCTATGGAATGCAGGGGGGAGGGGATGCTGAATGCATAGCACTGCACGCATCGGAAACTTTCCAACCATGAGTGGAGATTCTTCTATTTTTTCAGATATATCAGAATTCGGACTTAAGAAACAGGCATGTTCTGGAAGAAGGAGACAAGTTAACCTGCTAAATGAATCAGCCACCAAGTGCCAAGGTCTTGATCTGGAGAAGATTTTCATCGTAATTGAATTGGTATGTGGTGGAGAGAAGCCTTTGTTTTCTCTTTATATATTTACTACGCTGTTTTATGATTTGGCAGCTCTTCATTGAAGAAGAAAAAATTAGCTACTAATGGATTGTAATAATTAATGGATTGTAGTTATTAATGGACTGCAAGAGGGAATCAACAAGAACTTTATAATGCTTATGGATTAATTGAAAGAATGGAACTGTGTGGAAAATATTGGGATGTTCTGTGGCAATACCTTCCTACAGAGGACTCTGATTTATTATGGTGTTGGTGAGAGATCAGATATTATCAGATGGGAAAGATTTCAAAGAAAACAATGGAAATCTGCCTGGAGTAATGGCCAGACGCCGGACGCCAGACCATTTTCGGTTTTAAGAAAAGCAAGATGGCGAAAGGTCACTACACAGTAAAATTGAGTCCTTGGAGTGGGGGGGGGGGGAATGCTGAAAATGATTGATTGGCACAAGAAAGGAAGGTCAAATGTTAAAAACAACAACACTCCACACAGAAAGTTACCAGATATAAACTCCTCTTGCAAATTAAAGGATTCGGAACAGTTAAATAGAAATGAAAGTCAACACATCAGTGGCTGTTAAAATAAAGGATCAACATCGGAACTTTATTATTTGGATTAAATAAGCAGATTGGAGTGGGAACAAGGAATCAACATCTCCTAAAAATCTCCTAAAATCAGAACATGGGAAGTCAACCAAAATGTTTGAATTGGAATCTGACAATTGGCTTTTTTAATTGAATTATGATTTGGTATTGTATCAATGTGGTCTATATTGGATTGTTATTAATGAAAAATTATATATATATATATATAGCATAGTATTTCATATAGGCTTGCTCTCCTATAAGGAACCCAAATGTTATTTATATGAGAAGTTTTTCTTCCAATACTTTTATATCATAATAGGACACTCCAGAGCATCCATGCAGTTTGTGACCAACCAAGTGAACTCAGCTACAGATACCATAGACTCTTCATAATATCTTGCTTGGAAAATACAGTTCAGAGGCTCTTAATGTTCACCTCAAATGTGAGATGAGCATTATGACTTATGGATTTTTCTCTGAGCCTCCATCTGTCTCACACACTTGTCTCCATTGCTACTCCAACAACGTGTGTGTCTCCGATAGGTTTTTGTTTGCATTTAAAAGGGGGAAAAAAGCAAAATTCATATTATTGAACCAGTATGTGAACAAAAACAACACAACTTTGTACTACTCCAAATTTTCAGACTCACTTGACCAACAAGTAATGTGTACAAAAATGCAGATATGGAGGAAATTTGCATTAAAAATGCATACACCTGTGAAAATCTACATAATGCATTACATTAGGGAATGTTGCTTAGTCAAAACTGCATACAAACTGTGTTTTATTAAGAGAAATTCACACTAAAATGCTAACGAAATTTCGTGAGGATTAAGAATTGCTGCAGAAAAATGGAGAACAGAATTTAAGACTGGGGAAAAAATTAAGAAGCTGAGAGAAACCCAATTTGAGATATTTTTCCTTCCCCCGTCTCTGATCCCTACCCTCCTGCCGGCCTACTTGGCTGCTGATCTTAGCAGCAGCAGGAGAGAGAAAGTGAGAGAGACACCTTCTCTCTCTTCCCCCGCCAGGTGTTGTGAGCATTGGCAAATACAGTTGTCGCAGGTCTCCTGGCACTGGCTTTCAGTTTAACTCAGTTTTGCTAGAGTAAGCTGAGCTGTCCCATGCTATTTCTTGATTTTGTTTCTGTTCCAAGGAGAACTGGTGGCGAGATGCCTGCCACTAGGCACACAGCCTACCAACTATGCATGACTTACAAGAGGCTCCAAAGTCTCCTGCCTTTCCTGCCATCATGGCAAAAACATGCCAACAAGCAGCTTTGCAGGCTCCGATGTGTGGGTTGCGTTTTGCTTGGTGGGTCACAAGTCATGCAGGCCTCCTCTAGACCTACTTTATAGCCAGAAATAGCTCCTTCTCTTGCAGCAGATGTGCCTTTTATTACCTACTTGTAAAAGTTTCATTTCGCAGTTCTGTTGGTGATGTTCTTGAAAGCAGCTTTATAAATAGATTGATTACTCAGTAACATTTGCCCTGTTTGAATAACAACAACGTGAGATTTTCATAAAAGGTTGCTGAAATACTGCATTTATGATGATTGCTTTACATAGCCAGAAACCTGAATGATTTCAGTAGCAGATATCCTTTTTGGCACTATGCAAATGGAAGCATAACTTTGAAATAAATAAATGTCACTAGGTATGCACCTTTTCTGAGGGTTGAGCTTTCAGCATTTCTCCTTGACTTTGTGCCCCAGCAATTGGTCTTTCAGGTTAATCAGATGGACCACCAGCTAGCTGAAGAATCATGTGCATGGCTCTCCAAATACAGCCATAGATTTGGAGGGTGCCTTCCCCTACTCAGGGCAGGAAATCCAGAGCAAAAGCATCTCCAAGAGCTCTCTGCCCAGCCTCTAGCAAGAGAGACAGTTGCATGCAAATTATTGGTTAGATCAGGCATAGCCAAACTGGGCCCTCCAGATGTTTTGGGACTATAACTCCCATCATCCGTAGCTAACAGGACCAGTGGTCAGGGATGATGGGAGTTGTAGTCTCAAAACACCTGGAGGGCCGAGTTTGCCTATGCCTGGGTTAGATCCATTGAAATTAATGAATATAAGTTTGCCCTGTCCATTAACTTCAATAGTCTACTCTAACTTGGGCTAGCGCTGAATACCACCCACAGAGTTCAGCATTCCTCCAGGTATTTGTTTCTATAGTCAAACTAGTCTTACCATCAAGAGGTTTCTCCTATGTTGAGCTGAAGTCTACTGTCTTGTAACTTAACTTATAGCGCGCGGCATAGCTCAGTTGGTAGCACATAAGACTCGTCATCTCAGGGTCATGGGTATGAGCCCCACACTGGGCAAAAAGATTCCTGCATTGCAGGGGGCTGGACTAGATGACTCTCACAGTCCCTTCCAACTGTACAATTCTATGATTCTAGGAACAAAAATGATGATAATGATGATTTCATTGCCGGACCCTCACTCTTAAAGCCTCAGGGTATGTTACAACAATTTAAAATGCAACATTCAAAATAGCTTTATACAATTTACAATCACAAAAAAGGTAAATATCCATCTTGGGTTTCGAAGGCCAGGGAAAAGAGGTCTGCCTACAAGCATTTGATAAAAACTGTATAGTGAAAGTGCCAAACACACCTCTGTGGGAAGGGAGCTTGACAAGTCAGGAGCTGCCTCAGACAGGGTCCTCTGCTGGGCTGCCACCCACCCCCAAGTTTCTGAGGGTGGCAGATCTACCAAGAGGACCGTCTCTGCTGATCTTAAAACTGGAGGTCTGTAGGGATCTAGTTATTTTCTCTGCTGCCCCAGAAGGCATGTCCTCACTATCTTCTCTGTGACAGACCTTCAGGTATTTGAAGACTGTTTTCATCTCTCCCCACAGCCTTCTCCATGCTAAACAGGACTATTCCTCATAGGACTTGCTCACCGTACTGCTGACCGTTGTCACCCTCTTCAGAACCCATTCCATATTTTGTTGCAAGTTATCAACCCCACAGGCTGTGTGTGAGCCAGGAAATGTGCCAGCTTGCTTGCTTGCTTCTTTCCTACCATATGACAGGCTGGGTTGCAGGAAAAATATCGTTGGGTCCAACACTTGTCCATCTTGTCAGTACAGTCATTCAGGCGCAGGCCGGCCCAACTTAGTAAATGTTTTATTCTTAATTCATCCTACCTAATGCAAAATAAAATTACCATTTTGCGACAGGAGCTAGAAAACTCAAAAAGAGCACTAGATTTCCCCCTAAGGCAACAGCAGTAAGCTGAAATAGAACATTGGTGAGTCTGTTTCTATATGAAATTCTTTCAACAGCCAACTCAGTTCTAAGATGAGTGCATTTTATTTTACAAGTTCCTTCAGAGATGTAATTTAGAATCTTTGTCCTTAGTGTAGTTACCTCCGGTTGTGAAACAATGCTCTTGATTTTCTGCTGTTTAACCATTGAATTGCACAGGGATGAATGTATTTAAGGAAGCATTTGTCTTTCCTGATTGCTGCCTCTTGATTTCTGCTCTTTTATGTTTGTCTATGACACACTCGTGCTTTATATGAGACATAGCTTGATTTATTATAACACAGCAATTCAACACTAATACAGATAACTAAATATCTTTTTGTGCACCAAGAACTGTGGAGATTTGACTAGTGTAATATGATCTTCTGGGGTCACTAAGGCTTTAAAAGTCTTTAAAAGTGAGACATTGTTGAAGGAAAGTAACTGCCTATTTCAACATGAAGATGGCTATGGCAGTTCTCTACAAGTTGCCTTAGGTTATTTAGAGAAAGGTTACTAAGAAATCATCCATCATCCTATCCCTGACTACTAAGTTCATAACTTGAAAGAGTTCTACACATCCCCAAGATTTTGGAAATAGCTGATTGGTTAAGTTCTGTTTAACAAATAGGATGGCTTATTGAATTTACTTTGAAAACATAGTGGAAATAAATGACATACAAAAAATGGAGCTTTGGAATAAAGCACTTTATCAAATAAATAACATGTCAGACCTTATAGTCTACTGACTGTTGGCAAAGAATATTAACAGCACCAGGTAGCTGCACATTACTCCTACCAAAAGAAATATTTCTTACAAATGCGATCTTGTAGTTCTTTCATTAACCTTACACTCCTACACAACAAGTCTGAAACATAAATGTCATTTTAATGCATTTGCTGCTTTCAACAATGGCTATAATCTCAAATATAAGACTTTTTCATTTAGCAAAGCCACTTGCTATTACCTTTTTTTTATACTAATAAATGTCAGTTGTAGTTTTAAGACATGACCCATTATAATTTTAATACTACATTTGAATTACTAAAGAGCCTTTTTATTTTATTTTCTCTCTCAACCCCCTCATCCCAAATTAGGTTGCTGTTGTCTCCGTGCAGAACAGAGTCAATTGTTTGGGCAAGGAAAGGCTATCCAAAGTTGTTTATCTCATGCAACTTCATAATGCTCTCACAGCAGCTTTCAAGTCATAGAATGGCAATAATATAAGCATGCAATAGCAACAGCTTACCAAATCTTATCAAGCCTACTTATTGCTCATCTACCTCTGCATTTGAAACTTTGGGGAGGAAGAGACATGTTCTTAAGCAGGCACAGGCAAACTCGGCCCTCCAGATGTTTTGGGACTACAACTCCCACCATCCCTAGCTAACAGGACCAGTGGTCAGGGATGATGGGAGTTGTAGTCCCAAAAACATCTGGAGGGCCAAGTTTGCTTATGCCTGCTCTTGGGGATCAGTTTGGGTTCTCATCCATTCTTCCTGTAAAAGATAGCACAGAAACAATGAAGAGAGAGAAGAATACTTCAGAAGAATAGTTACTCAGATGGGGTCCATGAAACAGGTTCAGTTTCTGCGTCTGTGGTCTTAGCTCCTCTAATGAAGAACTGCTGGCCAGAGATGGACTGGGAGGAACATGTTTGGCTGAAGCTTGGTGAAGCTGTTTACGTGGGCTTTAAACTAAATTATTTGGAAGATGGAGACAATAGCCCAAAGCGAAACACAAATGAAAGCATTAGAGATAGGGGCTTGGGTGCTACAGGAGAAACGGAGGGCGTTGAGGGAGAGTCTCGCAAACCTGCAATCAAATGGCAGGAAAGAGATGGGATGCCTCTGGCTGCATTTCAGAAAGAAATGGTTGAGTCACATCAGTTTAAAGATTTTCCTTTGATGTGCAATTTCCATCTGTTTGCTGTCCATTTGTTCCACACCAATAACACACCTCCAGTTTTTCCTTCTGTCGGTTTAGATTCTATTAAAACTTCATGGAAATAAAGAGTTTTTAAATGTTTTTTTCCTGTACAATGGTCACATTTTAATCCTGTTTTCATGCCTGTACTGTATCTTAAACATAAATATTTAACATGGTGATATAAAAGCAATTATAAAAACAAATAAAATTAGTAAAGAGTAGTTCTAAAGTAACATTGGAATCACTTTATGTAGATCTAAACCTTGGATTGTTCTGATTATGGAATTATGTACATATTTCTTTCTTAATTGAGAGGTAAGTGGTTTTGGCAGGCATTTTTTATTTTTCTATTTTCTCAATGGCACAATGTTGAAGAATCGTGCTTCATAATTCACTTAAAGCAGCGTTCAGTGTCCTTTAACTAATACAATTGGTTTTATAATGCATTTTCAACACATTTTGCATTGTTGTCAAATCAAATGTTGTTTGGCCACCATTTTGTGGTTTCTCAACTTAATATTCTAAAAAGCAGCAGGATAAGTATCATTCCTAATATTAGCTCATGCTCGAAATTTCATCTAAATCTGTTAAACTGGGGGGCTGCTAGAGTCAGTTTATACTTGTGTGGAACTGCCATCCATCTTCTTGGCTGCCACCTTTGGCTCCAGGTAGAAGCTAAGATATATTGCACAGGTACAGACAGATTTCTATTTGGCATGTCAAAAAAACCAAAACCATAAAAGAACTCAAGCAAACAAATAACTTCAACACTCAGGAAATCTCCCTGTCTCCTACTTAGGTAGTGTCCTGCTCCATATTTGTGAGCTATCTACTAATTATAATCAATCACCTAAAGCAAACAGAGCATTGCTTTAATTCCATAGTATAGGTATGTGCATAGCTCCTGTTCAAATTAATAGAATGTCAGTGGAAGTCAGGAGACTTGAATACATAGGTGAGTGTCTCAGTATGGCATACAAGAATGCATTAGTGGATAAGATGCTTGACTCGGGATCAGATGACAGATTTGGCTTGACTCCATGGAATGAGCATCAAGTGTGTGTGGCATTAATTAAATTGCTTCACTGACTGTATGCTTCAGGTCTGCAAGTGGACCATGAGGATAATAGCACTTCACAATCTGACAGCGAAGCTTTGTGGATAAAAAATCACCAGTGATTGCAAGATACCAGGGGTAGAAAAACCGTAGATGGATCTAGACTGGCAGACAGACCTCAGACTGGACTTTCAACCTAATCTATATGACTTTTGCTATTTCTCACAGGTGTTTTAAATTTTAAAACCACCCAGCTACATGGGTGGAATATACGTGAATTTCTTCCTCAGGTTTTAATTCATTTCCCATATATTTTACAAAAAAGCTGAGTGTTTATGATACACCCAAATACAAAATATAAGAAAACAATGAGTGTGTGTTTTTAGGCCAATTTCCATAACAATGCTGACAAAGTGGAAGCTGGGTTGAAAACTTTAGGAACGCTTGAAAAGTGGAGCAGCTTATCACAGGCTTGCTTGGCGAATAACTCTGACAACCAGTTTACTAAAGAAGGGATGGAGACTCCTAGATGTTGCTGAACTACAACTCCCATCATCCCTGACTATTGGCCATGTTGGCTGGGCCTGAGGGAAGTTGGAATCAGGTGACAGGGATAGAGGTTCCCCATTCCTGTCCTAAAGAAAGGAGACATAGAAATTTCAAGGCTATTTATTTACTTTTAAGAGGGCCAGTTTCATTTGAGCCAGGATAATATCCCAGCGTAGAATAGTATGTGGAGTAATAAAATGTTTGAGAGGGCCACACCCCCAGTTGATGGGCATTACCATTCATATGGTTTGCATGCACTGCGTCATGTGATCGATTAAGCAGGGCGGGGCATAGCTGGGCTCCCGCAATATTTTATTCAAGTTGGCACCCCTGTTTTAGGCCAGAGCTCAGTTGTACTGCACATGTAAGACACCTGTGGCATCTCTGTTGCCAGTGTGTGTTGACAATACCGAGCTAAAGCAAAACCAAAGGTTTGACTCAGTAAAAGGCAGTTTCCTATGTTCCTCACCTATTGCTACTCTTTAGAATCAGACTATCTCTACTTTGTGGACATCATTTAGTTTCTGTACAGACTCAAGAATATGAATGAGCATGAACAGTGACTATTGGTATGCACAGGATGGTGCAAATGCCCGCCAGAAGTAAATGGTTTCATTTGAAATAATCTAGCAGCTGTCTTTCTATTGATTTAATGTTTACTGACTTCCTGTTTCCTTCCTGCCTGCAGTTATTATCCGTGGCTTTTCAATTTGTGATGCAATCCTCTCTAGGCAATACCTTTTTTATGGATAGTGTAATGCCTCATTACAATTAAGGGCCCTTTCTTTTAAGTAGGCTGGTGCCAAATACTGGAATTGTGGGGGTTCAGAACAGAAGTTTCCCAGTTTGGAAATGACATACAGTGGTACCTCGGGTTAAGTACTTAATTCGTTGTGGAGGTCTGTACTTAACCTGAAACTGTTCTTAACCTGAAGCACCACTTTAGCTAATGGGACCTCCTGCTGCTGCTGTGCCGCCGGAGCACGATTTCTGTTCTCATCCTGAAGCAAAGTTCTTAACCTGAAGCACTATTTCTGGAT